ATCTTGCCTTTTTTTTCCTTTTAATTTTTTAGTTAAATGGCACAATACAGATTTTTTTAAGTGAACTTATTTGTGGATGATGTTGTCCTACATCTTAGTACACTCAATATAGCAAATGCCCCAGAACCACCCCCCCCGCCCCCACCAAACAAACAAAAGGCTTGGTTTACACCAGTTAGTGACGAAGTTATCTACATGCTATGTGATTGAAAGAGACAATCGCAGGCTGAGGATTTCTTAACTTTACCATAACGATGCACTGGGCACTTGAAGCAAGAGCCCTCAGAAGCGGACGTGCTGCAGGAGAAAGCACACGCTCTCTTTGGAAGAGAGAAAGCCAGGATATTGTGGTGGCGGGAGGAACAATGGAGCCAATGAAACAGAGGTCAAAGCTGAAGGTTTCTGCTAGAATCCAGCTCTATACAGGTAGTTTAATTATTTTATTCCAGCAGAAGTCTGCTCTAGCGCTTGGAGTACCGCATGCAGACCGCTGGGAAGAAAAGCACTCAATTGTTCAATTTTTATTATTCAATATTGTATTAAAAATTTTTTAGGCTCTTTGGGTCAAGGCTACTTTTAAAAGGTTAAAAGCTATTCAGAAGGGTTGCCATATCCATAAAAGCAAATGAGATTAAGCCTAAAGGCCGATGGAGAAAAAACAGTAATTTAGATAAACTGCTACCATCTAAAAAGTGTTTTGACTTTTACAGGAGAAAGAGAATTCAGAGATTCTTGGATTGGTTGTCATATCAAAGAAAGATTCATTAAATTTGAAGCAATTATTTTTGTGCTTTTTATTGTTTGGTGTGTTTTAGTCCAGCGTCTACCTTTCTTCGGTTACATTCTTTAAAATGGTTTGGGAATTGTAATTACGTGGCTCCAAGCATCCATCTGTCAACTCTTGACCTTGCTGGTTGGGCATCTGTAACATCAGACACTGTTGTCATGGAAAGAATTATGATGTTTCAATCGAATGTATCGCAAAGTTAACAAATCCATAACATGATCCGGATCACATGGAAGAGTTTAGAAAATGTGTTTCAGAGACCTCAGGGGGAAGTGAATAGGTTATTCCCATTAATGTTTATCTCCAGCGCTGGCCATTAATTGGGATAGTTTTCTATTACAACGGAAGAGCTAAATTTCAACCTCGAGCTTGAAGTGAGTACTCCAGATCAAAACGTGGGGTTCAGCAACTGAGACAAAAGCCATTATATGCTTCCAATGTCAAGTTGTGCGTTCATATATCATTGATTGACTTGGTGGCAACTTTGGAATGTCTGCCCTTCTTGGATCATTTTAGTTTTTGCTTAAAATACCCAGAGATATGCTTTAGTCTGGTTTTGTTGTTGATGTCAGAAAACTGAACCTGCCAAAGGATGGATGGGACTCTCAGAGCTGGTAGGTCCGTGAAAAAGGTGATTATAGTAATCAGGACTGGCTGACATTTACTTAAAAGTCTAAAAAGCATATAGAACAGAAAATTTCTAGACATTAAAGTGAGTAGTGAGTTGATATAAAAGTTTAATTTTATCTTTTATGGAAACGGTTTGGCTTGACAAAATTAAAATTAATAGAAATACAGTAATATTCTGGACACTTATACTTTATTTTCACTGTCCTGTGTCTGAACAAATAAGCATTCCAAGCAAGTAAGAGGAGCTAACATCTCCATTTTGTGAGAAATATTCTCTAACAAAGAGTTTTTGTGCTGCATACCTTTCATTTTTACACACTCTAAAAGGAGAATGGTTGTTGTAATAATCAGATTTCTTGGATCACAGTGTCAAAGCAATGCAGATGCATCTGAGAAGAGCTAAAACAACATGATTCAAGGTGGCCGTGTCTGAAGAAAATCTGTAAAATGAAGAAATTCATTTTACAGATGAATAAATTAGGGGGTGATTATTCATATTGTGAAGGAGTCTTTAAAGGATTCCCCTAGGATCCTTTTAAAGGCTGAGCTCCACTAGTTCACATAAGTGTTTGTGTGCAGATCATTAACTATTTGACAGGCAGGCCGGAAATGCAGGTAGAGCCAAGGGGAAGAGAGAGAATGTTCAAGAGGTAGAGGAATCATTGACACTTGAGGCTCACCTACTCTCAAGATAGAAGTTGATGAGACAATAATGATAGTCAAAGTAAAAATACGGTACTTACTTACAAGATATGCTTTTTACACTAGAGTTCTTGGGGACAGCCTGCTTGGGTTTAAATGCCATCTCCACCACTTATTTAGCTGTGTGACTTTGGATATTAACCAAATCTACCTTTCCTAAAGGTAGGCCCCTCTGTATATTAACCTTCTAGGAATGTATGAGTATTATATGAGTTAGTATATGTAAGTATTTAGGGTACTGGCATGTAGTCAATGCTGTGCTCTTGTTTCTAAGATGATTCTGGAACACGCTATTATAAAATACCAGGTGCTCTCCAACGCAGAAAATTATTGGTGTTAATGTAAGACTTAAGACTGGAAGGGATTTAATAAACCAAATACACCTTATCCCCCCAAAAGAAAAAACAAACTAACATTGATAAATACAAATAAATACTGCTTTCTTTTTGGGGTTCCCAACAAAGTCAATCTGAAATTTGACCTTCTTTGAAATTATTGTCCTAATTTTAGTTTTCTAGTGGTTTGGTAAAATTTCCAAAATCAGGAAGCACATAGGGGCAGTTAGCAATCTAATATCTGTTGACTTTTTAAATGTTAAATGTCTTTGATTCACCTATTATTGAATTTGCATTTCAAGAACAATAGTGTATTTATTGGTTGAAATAACTTTATTTGTGGGAAAAACTTCTTGCTTAGTTGACTTTGCTCGGATGGCACAAGAATAAACTCGTTCCATGTATTCTATCCAGTGCATCTGTACCTATAGACTTTTGGGCTTGAAATAGACATTAATTGATACTTTCCAAAAGAACAACCAGTCAGAAAGTGTCCCAGTCAGCTTTCCCCAGTCTGATTAAATGCATGAGCTTAACAGGTTGCCGAACCAGAACCACTGAGAATGGGCATGAAAGCTGAAGAGTGTGTGAGTGCAGACAGGATGGCATAGGAATCTCAGCTGGGTAGATGTAAGGAGAAAATTATTGGTGTTAATGTAAGAGTTAAGACTGGAAGGGATTTAATAAACCAAATACCCCTTATCCCCCCATTGTATGCACGGTTCATTGTATGCACTGAGTTTTCCATTCTGGGGTCCCAGCAGGTGACAATTGGCTCGACCTTCTTAATTTTGCCATGGCACATAAGAAAACCCAGAGAGTTTTAAGGGCCAGTAATGACAGTTCTATTACATTATAAAATGGTCTTCTAACTGTCTAATGTACTCTCCTTTGGTGCCCCTTGAAACTCCTCTTCTGCTCAGGTCAGGCCTCCCTGGCTGGCCAGCCCTCTGGTCACATCAGAAGACCCACAACTCTCTCACACTCTATTCCATATCCCAGTTGGATACAGGTTGAATAAAAATGTGCTTTCTGGCCCTCACACTTAGTTTATGTGAGTGAATGCTGATGGAAATGGGTAAGTAAATAGTTTTTAAGTGCAGGAGATCAAATTACTTCCTTCACAACTTGAAGTTCTTGACAGCTCTGAAAAAATCTGCTTTTTTTTTTCTTCCAAATGTTAAAGTGGGTTGATCTTCACCTTGCTTCACAGCAGATTGCCAAATTGTCAGCTTTCAATATATTATTTTTTGGAAAAAAAATTAAGTGATTTGATTCATTTGGGGGAGAAATTTCTCAAGTTCAGAAAACATAAAACAATGAAAATCTGTAAATGCTTTTATTTCTGACTTGAGTTATATTGAATAAACGACAGAACTTAGCTTAAGTGGGAGCTATTTTAGTTGCCTTTAGTTGAACATTTGTGTCTCTTACTGATTATTTTCTGTGGATCCAATAGCCTTTATATGTCAGTACCAAGAAATCAAATTTTGTTATAATGCTTATGACACAACTTTGCCCAAAGCAGTCTGGTCTCTCAGGTTTAAATTCCCATTATATTTTCTCATTATACACATATTCTTTACAGTATATAACACAAGTGTATGAACAATTACTTGTGTAATTATTTACTTAATGTCTGTCTTTATTGGTAGACAATAAGCTCTATCATGGTAAGCTCTACCATGTTTGGCTCATTGTTATAGACCCAGTGCTTAGCATAAGAGCACACATAGTAGATGATCAAAAAATGTATTGAATCAACCAAATTACTAGTAAATTTTCTGTCCTTATTCAGCTTAGTGGTAACTACATATCTAATATATGTAAATATTACATATGTAATGGTTGCAATAGTCAAACTTGTAGAGATAGGAAATAGATAAAACATAAACTTATTCTCAGTGTCCTCTACTGATCTCCAAAGGTTTCTAAAGACAACTTTGATTGCTTTTCTTTTTAGCTATTCTGATATTTAGCATCATATTTCTAAATAACATTGTACTCTTGGTTTTGTTAAGACTTCAGACAATATCTGTTGGTTTCCAGATGAAAGATAAAAACTTTAATACATTCGTACTCTTACTTTTCCCCTCTGTCTCAGGTGTGTTTTGGTTTTGTTTTGTTTTGGTGTTGTTATTGTTTGTTTTAGCTTTTCTATTAGTTATCTTTACTGCTTGATATTATCCTCTATGGTTTTCAATCACCAGCTTTAGACTGGCTCCATTTTCTCTATACTAGATGAAATGAAGAAATCAGTGCACCTACAATTTTTCTTTTTTTCTTATCCCCACTGACTTCTCTCGCAACTGAATCATTGTATTTTACATTTTTACAGTTTAAAGCAAAATATACATAAATACCATTATTATTATCATAATTTGCACTTATGCATTGGTATCATTCCATTTGTACCATTTACATTTTAGTTATGCATTCAATGTGTTTTATGAATTATATAAGTTTGATAAAAATATAAGTATATGAAATGATCAGTATTTAAAAATGAAGAATACTACTTTTTCTAGAATCGTGTATGACAAGGCACATAGAGAAAGCAATGTAATCCTATGTAGTTCTAAGCACTAAAGTCCAAAAGGATTAATATATAATATAACTTATTAATTATGAATATAATAATAAAGAAACAAAATTTATATTATACATATTATATATGTCAATAATTATTCAAAATAATATCACATTTTAACTTGCTTATTATTTACCATGACTTTCTTTTACATCTATTTTCCCATGCACACTACCATCCTCAACCCACCTCCAACTAATATAAATCTTTTTTTATGCTCATTACTTCTGTGGCCTACTGTTCATGCTGAAATTTCTTTCAGTGTACCACTGGATTATATTAAACTGTTCTTAGATGCATTTTCTTCCTCTTTCTTAGATTATTTTTTCATGTTATTGAAGTATATTCTAATAATGCTTTCTTTAGAAAAGGTATATGAGAGGAAAATTTTTTGAGTCCTTTCAAGTGCCTTTATTCTTCAATTAAGTCCTATTTATAACTACATTTGATATAGAATTCTAGGTTTAAACTTGCTTTATAGTTTTTAATAGTCTATGTTGTTAATAAAATATTGATACCAGTCTGGTGATCATGACTTTTTGAGTAATCACTCTATTCCTCTCTGAAAGTTTTCAGAATTTTTCTCTTCATGCTTAGTGTTCTGAAATTTTACAAAGATGTGTCTACTATTGGTGTTTCCTTCTCTTGATTTTTAGATGGGTTTGTGAATTTTGGGGTTGACATTTTTTCCAGTTTGAGAAAATGTTATTATATATTGTCTTTTGTTATTTCTTTGGTTATTCTAACTCCTTCATTGTTTATATTGTTTTCTTATAAATCACCTTTTTGATAAGTTTTGGATCTTCTGGATCTATGCACTATATCAGTGCTTCTCAAATTTTAATGCGTACAAACACCTGGGATCTTATTAAAATTAAGATTCTGATTCAATAGGTCTGGGTGAGGCCTATGATTTTGCTGATTCTGCTGGTATGTGGACCACATTTTGAGCATTGAGGCTTTACATTTCATTTTTAAAATGTGTTTTTATTGATTTCAGAGAGAGAGAGAGAGAGAGCACGTGAAAGAAATATCGATGAGAGAAACACCAATGGGAGAGAAAGATCAATCAGCTGCCGCCTGCACCCCTGCTACTGGGGATTGAACCCGAAACCCAGGCATGTGCTCTGATCAGGAATTGAGCCCGTGATCTCTTGGTGCATGAAATGATGCTCAATCCACTGAGCCACACTTTCTAGGCACCTTTATATTTCTTGAAATAACTTTTTGTTCACACTTTTTTTCCATTATGAAAAATTTTATTAATTCCATCTTCTAAATTAAACTTTAGTCTTTGCTTGCTAATGTTTAGTCCACTGTTTAATTTATTTTTAGATGATTGTATTTTTTTATTTTCAAAAACTCATAGCAGTCTTTTTAAATATTACAAATACAGTATATTCTTGAAATTTTGAGGATATTAATAGAAATTTTTAATGTTTTCTTTATTGGTTCCATTGTAACTGTCTCTTTTGTGGTCAATTTTGTTTATTCACCGTTGTCCTTTTTTTCTACTTAGTTTCTCTTAAATGTCTGCTAATTTTAGGTTGACAACTAAAATTTGAGCACAGGGTTATGCTTATTAATTTAGATAGCTGGCATGAGTATCCTTTCAGGTCAAAAGGACCATTTTAAACAAAGGTCTCTGTACTGAATGGGAGAGCTGCCTCTGGGCTCTGTGTAGAGGGATGAACCCAGTTGACAAGCGGCTTTTTATAAACAGGCTTGGGGCACTACAACCGCCAAATAAGCCAGCTGCTCCATCTCCAGAGAAAAGAGAGAAGTTGCCTAGTCCAGCTGCTTTAACGATGGTCTTCCAGTTATAAACCCTTATTGCTGTCCCTGGTCAACTTCTAGCTGTTCCTGTTTGGAGTCTCTCAAGAGATCTTTTAAGAAAAGTGATTATACCTCTGCTACTATTTTCTATGCGTGTATTTTGAGTTGTGATTTACTCTTCTGGAGTTTATCGAACAATACAGTCCAATCTGCCTCCTACCTTCTAAGATTTCATCAAACTTTCTGGTGTACTAATGTCCACCCCTTTTCTCCTCCCTCTTTCTGGTTTGTTTCAAGTGCTGCCAAGGATTTATTTATTTTTATATGTGTGGTCATTTCAATTGGAATTTAGAATGGAGAGAAGGCAATGTAGTTCATATCTATCACCCTGAACTAAGAAACTATATAGCCATTTTAGGGTTGCTCTAAATACTTACCTGAATTTGCTTAATACTTCATCTGGCTGTTCACAAACAGGCAGACCTAACTGTAAATAGATAAATTCCCATACACGTTCCCTCGACCTTGCTAATTATTCTTCATGGATCAAATAGGATTTAGCAGTGTTAAGAGCTTTAGATGATTTTAAATTGTTCCCCGAGCCTCTTGGCAGTTTCATGTGTGTTAGAAGTGCCTGATCATAAAACAAAGTAACTATAGAGAGGTGCCTAAACTAAGAAGACTAAGATAAAAGTTAAAGTGACAGCAGAATTTGAACTGGCCTACAATTTACTTTGGAGTGTTACATATTTTGTGTTAGTTGAGCTTGACCAACTCTACCTTGGATTTGCCAAAAAAATAATTGATGTAATCACAGAGCCAAGAATGATAACATGTGAATATCTGTGGAGGATTGGCAGGACCCCAGATCACTGGGAAAAATCCAACAGAGTACCTATTTTTAAAAAGCAATAAAAAGTTGTTTGAGAATTAATGACCTTTTATAGAGTGAAAAAGCAGTGCATACTTATTACCTTGACCCAAATAGGTTTTAGACAGTCTTATACTGTAATGGCAATAATGAGTAGAAGAAGAATGTATTTATGTATTGTACCAACATAACATTAAGTATCCAAAATTGGATAAATGTTTTTTGATATAAAACTATTAGATTTTTATTTATGGCTATCATTTTATTAGAATTTAAATCCATATATTACCAAACATCTATATAATTCAAGACATCTGCATTTTGGCCACATGTCTCCATTTTTACTCACATATATGTTATCATTTAGATGTTCCAAGTAACACAGATGTATAATATTAAATTAAGAATATTAACAGTCATTATTCAGAGGCCAAATCCTTCTTTGATATGTGTGTGTATGATGTATGTTGAAAACCTGCCTTACTCTTGAATTTAAAATTAAATTAGAAATGAGTTCAATAAACGAAGTTATTGTTCTAAAAATCAAGCAAATTAAAAAGAAACAAGTGCTGATATAGGATGCTTTAATTAAGAAGGAGAAAAGAACTCTCACATTTCTGAAGTGGGCAAAAGCTATTTAGATAACAATGAGCCAGAAGAAAAAGAGCAGGAGTCCCTACGAATGCCTGAGCAGCAACGCCATGGACTCAATCATTTGCTGAGATCTTTCAGGCCTCTGACCTTGGTCTATAACGCTTCCACTTCTGGCATCTACTATTTTTCCTTCTTTATCTTGCCAGTTCTCCTCTCATCCTTCCAGTCTGAACGCTGTGAAGCCTTTCTTGCCTTACATTTTTACTTAGTTCTCTGTTTTCTTAGTATTTTGTAGATCCGGATGCAGCCAACATTTGTTGAGTGCTTACTAACTACCACGCACTACATTATGAAATAATAGCTGTATCACAGGGGCATGACCTCAGTGCGATCATATTTATTTAACCAGTTGAAGAAGCTGAGACCTTGAGAAGGTATATGAGTTGTCCAAGGAATTCCTGCCTCCATACTTTACTGATTTTGGTTTAGGTAGGAGCATGCTGATGGTTTGTTTAAATACCCCATACAATATTGAGAAATAATTTTGGCCACATTTCTCCATTTTTACTCATATATATGTTATCCTTTAGATGTTCTCAGTAACATAGATATATATTAAATTGAAGATATTAGTTTTACTTGTTAATAAATAAAATCTATTAGATATTTATTTATATAAGGCACATCATCAGTCATTACGGGGTAATAAAGTATAAAGGCACAGTCTCTGACTTTCAGTCCTTGACTTCAGCATAAGACAAGAGGTAAGAGAGGCATATCCACAATGACAATACAAGGTAGTATGTATCAGTGCTACAGGAGTCAGAAAATAATGTGCCAAGTGATGAGGGAAGAGTCTATGAAGGGTTGGTATGTGAGTCGGGCCTCCGACAAGGTTTGTTAGGTGGTAGGGGTGCTCAATGTTTGCAGACTGTTGAGTGGTATTTTGAAAGTTGACGTTTAGGGTAAGATTTTACTCATTAATTTATTCATTCACTCAACACATTTTTGAATACATACTAGATGCCAGACATTCTCCCAGAAACTGGGAAATTATTTAGTAACCCAGGTATGGACCTGTCTTCAAATACATTCTCATTGTGTTAGAGTCTTAAATAAGAATCAAATTTCAGGGTTGGCACGGATTTTTAAAAATTGTGAGGCCCACCTGGTCTTTAGTTCTAACTTCTAGAATAATAGTAGCTCCTAGAAAATTAATATAACCCTGGATTTTAAGCATGCATTCTTCACTCCATTTTTACCAAAACAGCAATAAGAGATAAACCACAAATATGACCTAGCGCTCTCTTTCACACACTTCCAGCCCCATAGATAACCACCATAAGTGAGAAATTAAAGCTGAAATAGAGGATCAGCTGTACACTAATAAATGAATTGACAACTTTCTTTTGCTATTAGGTCCTGGTGACTAGGTAAATAAGTTTAAAAAGAATCATCTGTCACCTTGAGAGAATTTGAAAAATATTAATATGTAGCCAAGATGTTTTTAAGGCAATGATGAGAATATCATCCATCAGTTCTAGCTATTTCCTGACTGGAAATGAGAACGACTGGCTAAATGTGAGAAGGTCCCACTGCATCAAGATGACTCAAACACCACAGACATTTTGAGAGAGGGTAGAGGCTCTGGAAGAATTGGGATAAAGTCACCACTGGGTTTGAGACTCTCTTTATGAGAGCTCATATAGCCACAGTGTCTGATGTTGGGCTGGGAGTAAACACTCTAATTTCTTTCTACCATCAACATTCATAAAAGAAAAAGAGTCTTTGATGCCCCAAAACAAGTCTTATCTAACAAAATTATTTTGTGAAAATAAATGTTTATGTTTAGACTGAAAACCTGCCTCGTTTCACATTAGCCCAGTATGTCTTTAAAGTAGCAAAATACGTGGCAATTGAAAAATGATTACCAAGTAGGAAAATGCTTATTGAAATACTTCTCTGTGGAGCATTGTACAGGAGGGGTGGATGTATTTGAAGGCCCAGGTCGAAATGTCTGTCAATTGTTTTAGTTATTCTACGGACAACTGTTGAGGAAAAAGCACCCAACGTCTGTGTCCACTTGGCTTCATTTCTTTTACTTTTCCTAGAGTGATGCTATGAATCTCCTGGTTACTGTGTTCATTCTGTGGCCAGTTCCTCCCTCTTTTCGCAAAAGCTGGTCCTGCTGTCACCCTAGTACGGTGCTCCCCTTCCCACCTGCACCCCCAAGGGGTTATTCCTTTCCTCTATTCCAACATTCAGAAAGGAGCAGCTCATTGCTTATGCTGCAATTTTGATAACCTAACTGGCAGAACAGTTATTCAAATTTTAGCTTCTGAATGCAGCAAGATCAACTTGGCCTATCCACATAAATAATTTTGACACGATAAGTATGCGAGAGCGATGATAACCGATAAGTGAAGCAATTACCTTGCTTTTTTGGATTATATTAAATGAAGATTCTGAGAGAGTAATGAAAAGAGACAAAGCAGACAAAAAGTCGGCTGCAAAGCTTTTGGGCACTGTGTTATCTCTATTATACCATATTGAAATAGAGAAGCTATCACCAATCATGCATTTTTATGTAACTTCTGGCTTCTAACAGTGAACAATGAATAAATTGTCACAAGACAGTAACTGATAAATTGGGATTGGCAGTGCTTTTTAAAAAGCATAAATAAACTTACTAGTCACCTTTTTCTTTCTCAAATCAGTTTTTAAGGGACTCTGGAGGGGGGATCCCTTGTAAGTTATGTTCCCTTCTGTTTCCTCCCTCTGCCCCAGCCCTTTCCCTGCTACTGGT